CTCTCTCTCTCTCGCCCATCCCTGGCCGGCCACGCCTGCCTTGCTAGTCGTGGGAAGAGGAGTCTCCTTGTCGGGCACCGTGGATGCCGTTTGTTCCCCCGCTTTCCCGCGCAGCTCGCCTGAAGCAGGGCGGCTGCTTTCCTCACAAGAACTGGGTGGGGGGGAGAGAGACAGCCGTGGAGAGGGCATGAAGGTGTTTTTTGTGAAGAATAAGGAAATAAGTTCAGGGTGCCGTGAGGAGAACCTAAAAGGTTACTTCCCTGTTCTGTTGCAAAACACCAGCTCGGGAGCGAGCAAGTTCGACGGGGGTTCGGTTTTCTTTCCTCCCTCCAAATCTTCCCAAAGTGGCCGAAAAAAAAATTTTTTTAACCAAAACTGGAAATATCTATCTCCTTGGTATTTCTTGTTTAGTCGTTAAGTCGTGTCCTCCAAAGCCAAATTTAGCTGCTGTTCCTTTGATCTCTTGACTCCCTACTTTAGCATTCCAGCCCCCCTATAATGACAAGAATAATGAGAAGAACATCTTTCTTTGGTGTCAGTTCTAGAAGGTGTTGTAAGTCTTCATAGAATTGGTCAATTTCAGCCTCTTCAGCATCGGTGGTTGGTGCATAAATTTGGATTACTGTGATTTTGAAAGGTCTGCCTTGGATTCGCATTAAAATCATTCTATCATTTTTGAGATTGTATCCCAGTACAGCTTTTCCCACTCTTTCGTTGACTATCGCAGCTACTCCATTTCTTCTACAGGATTCTTGCCCACAATAGTAGATATGATAGTCATCTGAAATGAATTTGCCCATTCGTGGCCATTTTAATAGCAGATAAGATAATCGTCTGAATTGAATTCGCCCATTCCCGTCCATTTTAGTTCACTGACACCCAGGATGTCAATGTTTATTCTTGCCATCTCCTGTTTGACCACCTCCAGCTTCCCAAGGTTCATAGATCTTACATTCCAGGTTCCTATGCAGTATTTTTCTTTGCAGCATCGGACTTTCCTTTCACTTCCATGCATGTTTGCAGCTGACTAAACAACAACAACAATAGGGCTTTCAAGGTAATTGAGATATTGGAGGCATGGTTTTACCAGTTCCACTACCCCATTGAGTTTTCATGGCTTATTGGGGACTTGAACATTATTCTCCAGAGTCCTAGCCCATCGCTCTATCCACTACACCACTGGTTCTTAACCTTGGGTTACTCAGGAGTTTTGGACTGCAACTCCCAGAAGCCTTCACCACCAGCTGTCCTGACTGGGGTTTCTGGGAGTTGCAGTTCAAAAGCATCCGAGTAACAAAGGTTAAGAACCACTGCACTACACCACTCTGGGAATCCCAAAAAGTGATGCTAGAAGTCTAAAATATCCCATCCTGACACGTGAAGGTTAAGATCCGAACACCTAACTGTACAAAAACTTACCCATAGTGCTTGTGTCGTAGTATTAGTAGCTTCTCCCCAGGTTTTGAATATGATGTTTTAAGCATTGTGTTTTTGTAATGGTACTAAATATATATATATGTTATGATGTTATATTTTATTTGGTAAAATCTTTTGAGATACAATTCACCTTTTCCCTTTATCTGCAGGTACTTCAGCAGATACAATGGAACAGTGGCTGGTTTTCAAGGCAGCAGCATGTTGCAGATATAAATAAATCATACCAATTTGGAGGTGGAACCATTCAATTTCTAGAAACAGAATCCACATCACAACTCCAAAAGATTCACTGTTTTAGGGTCATGCTTTGTTAGGGCATTGTTCTGTCAAAGTTTTCCACCATTATTGCTCTTTCAGATGTTATCACTTTCCCCATGGAGTAAACTCTTCTCTACTCTGCCATGTTTATATTACTGGAGGTGATCGTCACACATGTATAACTGGTTTCTGTTGTACAACTAACACATTTATCTGTACAACTATAACAGAAGAACAGTTATAACCATCTCCTAGCATAGCTGACCTCTATCTGCCTTTTTAGTTCTTCATAACTGACTCAGTTTTAGATTTGAGTTTCTCAAATAGCATTGTCCCAACAACAACAACTGTGATAGATCCTATTGAAACCCAGTTCTTGATATTGCACAGACGTCACTTAACTTGGTTGCAAGAACAAAGATTTTGCTGGATCTCTTTGTGCCTTGGGCAATGCCCAGGATATCTGTGTGGAGTTTGGCCGATCTCTGCAGCTATACAAACATTGTAAAGTCATGTCATAAAAGCACAGAATTATATATGTTGCTACAACAGTGTAAGTATATTCAACTGAAAACTGAGCCTCAGCTTTGACATTTCCCATCCCTTTTGTTTTTTACATTAGACAATCTGATGCATTTTGCTGAGCAACATTGCAAAATTCAGGCTTCTTTCCTTAGCCCAGACTTCAGTTCTTGCTCTGGCAATCTCTCTCATTTGCTGTAGCCTTCTCTTGTTTTGCCTTTTGTTTTCATAGCTCACCTCTCTCATCTGTATTCTGAACTTCGCTTCAAAAATCATTCACATCTCTTAGGGTTTGGGCAATGTGACCAAGTTGCCACAGAAGGTGCTGTCCTGGCAGAGAGGTGAAAGTCAAGAGGTTCAAAAGGAAGAAATAGGTCTGGCTCTGCAAGGGACACCTCTCATTAAATGCTTTTACTGGCTTCTCTCTAGACATTTTAAATAAAAACTTTTTTCCCTATCTCCAAAGCTTTTCAAGCTTTTTCCACCAATTTAAAACTCTGCCCTGGGAGCTAGTGAATATAAAGCAGGCTCTGGAGGCTGGAAAAATAGACCAGGTGAAAGAAGAAGACAGAGAGCAAGAAGAGCAGATTAGACAAGGCACTGGAGGCATGATAGTGGAGGAGGTTGAAGAGTAAAGGAACTGAGGAGACCCCTTAAAGCAGCGCTTCCCAACCTTGGGTCCTCAGGTGTTCTTGGGTTACAACTCTCAAAAATCCTGGCCAGCACAGCTAGTGGTGGAAGCTTCTGGGAGTTTTAGTCCAAGAATACCTGGGGACACATGTTTGGGAACCTTTGCCTTAGAGCCGTGGTTCCCAACCTGGGGTAACGCATTTGTGTCTGGAGAGAGAAGCAAGTGCAGTCATTTAATGAAAGGTGTCCCATAAGAGAAGACTACTTGACAGGCTCAAGTTACAGGAAGCCAGAATTCGGTTGAATATCAGGAAAAACTTCCTAACTGTTAGAACAAAACAGGAATGGAACCAGTTACCTCAAGAGATGGTGAGTGTTCCAGATTTAGACAACCACCTGAAAGATCTCCTTTGATTTATTTCTGTACTGAGCAAGAGGTTTGACTCAATAGCCTTATAAGCCCCTTCCAACGTCATTATTCCTTGATTCTATGATAGAGATTGCCAGAGCAAGAACTGAAATCTGACCAAGGAAAGAAACCTGGATTTTGCAATGTTGCTCCCGAAAAAGCATCAGATTGATAGACTCATGTAAAGAACAAAAGGGATGGGAGTTGTCTATGCTGAAGCTCAGTTTTCGGTTGAATATACTAAGCAACGTGCACAATAAAAGCTTTATTCTATGCCTTTACAATGTTTGTGCAGCTGCAGAGATAGGTCAAACTCCACACAGATATCCTGGGCATTACAAGTATGATCGGGCATTACAGGATATCCTGGACGTTATAGGATATTACAAGGCGTGCAGAGATCCAGCAAAAATCTTGGATTGCAGTTACCAGAAACCTTCACCACCAGCTTTGCCGACTGGGATTTCTAGAAATTATAGTCCAAGAACACCTGGATTACTCAAAGGTGGGAACCACTTTCTAAGAGGGACCCCAGGAAGGTTACCAAGTAAAGGTGGAACCCCGAGGGGAAAAAAAACAGAGATCCATATCCATATCAGGCAAAAACAAAAGAAAAATCAGAGCCTCCAGGAGATTGTTGTTGAAGCCTCTTCTACAGTATCTTCCATAGAAGCGGGGATGGAGAAAATACTCCCCATCAAAGTCGCCATGGGTGACAGGGCTCACAGGAAACCAAACAATAAAGCTATTCCTAGCTTTTATTGTAGCATCCTAGGTATAACCCTTTGGTGAGCCTGCTTGAAATATTTGAAGCATCTAAATAGTTTCTCATCATGAAATATTAATGTTCAGTTTTAAGTTGTAATTACATGAGGTAGAGCCGGAAGTATAGTATTCAAAGCTATGAGTTTCCAAATTTCGTTCCAGCTTTGCCTTAGGGGAACACATGCCCTGTGACCATGAAGTTTTGACTGCTAGGTGGTGTTGACTTAATTACTGAGTCTTACAAGGTACTAGGCTAAATTGTGCAGCAAAATATATTTCTCATGCCTGGACCTCTTACTAGAGAAAAGAATGGTATTTTCGAATATGTGTGTTGGCAACCAAGCTGAAAATATATTACTTTTTCCAATTACATTCTCCCTCCCACTTCCTCTCCACCACCCCCTACACACCCCTGACTTCAGGAAGATCACATGGGAGATTTTTTCCTTTGTTATTGTTTAATTGTTAAGGTTACATTCTCCCTCCCACTTCCTCTCCACCCCCACCCACCCCGACTTCAGGAAGTTCACGTGGGAGATTTCTTCCTTTGTTGTTGTTTAATCGTTAAGTCGTGTCCGACTCTTCGTGACCCCATTGACCAGAGCACTCCAGGCCCTCCTGTCTTCCACTGACTCCTGGATTTGGGTCAAAGAAAGGTGTTCCTAGTCAGTAGAAAACATGGATCAAGGACTGGGATTTTGCCTGAAAACCAAAAAAAGAAAAAAAAGAAAGAAGAAAAAACAACAATCCTGCACAACCTTGAAAACAAATGAGAAAGAGAAGGCTGGAATCATTGGCGATGCACCAGGGTCAGCAACAATGGAAACCACACGGTTT